ACGAGTTTCCCCAACAGGGGCTTTATTTTTCTAAAGTGCTAAACACGGATCCTTGCCAAGCTGAGGATGGGGAACCGCATGGCAAAAGGCAGGGTGGATGGGTCTGCAAGAACTGGCTTTCTTAGTGACTCTGGATCTTTTTCCAAGAAAAAGGGATGGAGGGAAGTTAGAGAACGTGCTGGCATGGAGATTTATAGCAAACACTTAAATTGCATTAATCCTACACCTCTGCTGGCTGCTCTTTACTTAAAAATCCAACTGCCAAATCCCTCCTTGGCATAAGCAGACAACTCTGTGCTAATTCCAGGCTGGGATCTGCAGTGCTGGGTGAGGAGAGGCTGCCTTGCTGGGAATGGGATGCCGTGCCCAGGGAAGGAGGGTGCAGGATGCTRCCTGCTTCCAGCTCGCTATCCCTGCTACTTCATTTATTAAAACTAATAGCTGCTTTAAATTGCCATAGGAAACCTGCAGGTGTTTGAAACTACTATTTAAAAACAATCAAACACCAAAAAAGGTATTTGAATGACCCCAAAGGGGAGCACAGCTGCTCGCATGTGGGGTTGCAAGCACCAAGCGAATGCAGCAGGCAAAGGAGTTTGTGCTTTATCTGCCTGCGGGAGCACGAACAGGATAATGTTCCTAGCAGGAAGGGGCTGGAGYGTGGCCTGCCAGCCAGAGCGCTCTCCAGATGGCTGGGATATGTTAAATTGATTTTAAAGAAGCCTTTTTTAATTATTATTTTTATTGAAATGGGGGTTGTCAGGAAGCACCTGTCCTGAGCAGTCTTGGAGCCAGGTGCACGGGGAGACGTGGATCCCRTCATGGCCTGTGGCTCTGTGGTTTTTGTTGCACCAGGATGTGTCTTGCAAGGATTCGGAGGCTCCTTTGCTCGTGGCACGGGCAGCCTGCTTCCTTGGTATGGGCAAGGCGCTGTGGGAAGCGGGATGAGATTGCTTGAGATTCCACAGGACAGGTCCAAGTGATCCAGCCCTCATCCTGCTGCCAGCTCTGACCTTATCCTGACCCGTTTTGGTGCAGTTGGTATTTCCCATCTCTGAGGAGCCRGGATCCAGGGGTGCCTTGTCCTCCTCCAGCCTGGCACAGGAATTACAGCATCTCTGTCCTTTAGGAGAGAAGAAAACCCATGTTTTGGCCTCAATGTAGGGAATCCACATCAGGGAGTTTTGGACTTGCCACCCAGCTCTGCTCAGCAAATCCAGATGCATCCATCACCCTCCTGCCAGCTGGGCACCCCCTCCTTAGCACAGCAGGGACAAAGTGCATCCAAAACACTTCCATTTTCCCTTCCCCCTCACCTTTTTTTCTTTATTTTCTTTATTTTTAATCTTTTCCTCTTTTTCTTTTCCCCATCCAAAACACTTTCACTTTGGAGTAGCTGCATAAGAGACTTTATTTTTCCTGCAATGGGAAAATAGCCCGGGAAAGCCTTGTGTTCTTAGTGGAGGGATGTTTAGCTTTTYTCCACAAATGGAAAGTGCAGGTGATGGAGCAGTGACTCCCACGGCAGGGCTTGTTGGTGGCAGAGCCACTTGGACACTCCAGGGCTCTGAATGACACTGCAACCTCCTGGCTTTGGAATAGCAAGGTGTCCATCCCCTTGAGTACAAATCCATACAATTTGGTGTCTTTCCGTGCCTCAATTGCAGAGAACTGTTGCTTGGGCTGCCATCTGCATCAGCAGCATCMGTGGGCCCGTAAGGAGGGTGATATCCCCCTCCAAGGCTGGTGCAAGTGATGCTGCTTTTTAAGGGGGAAAAACAGCCCTTCGATTCCTTTGATTCTTGCGTGGCAGCTCTTGGCTGTGTTGGGRATGCGGTGCCTGGTCTGGGAGAGGAGCGGGAATTTGCTCCCCAYGAGCTGCCCTGTCCCAGGGACTGCTCCTAATCCCTGTGTTCACCATCCGGGCGCGGGGGTGTTGGCTCCTTCAAAGGAAGAAATAAGCACACAGAGACTTAATAATAATAATTAAAAAATGCTGTCGTAAGTAAACAGGAGAGYGTTCCTCGGTAGCAAGTGCACGGCTGGGGCTGCTGCTCCCCGAATGTGGCCTCGGAAAAGCTGTTTGCAAAGGGTGTCCTGGGGAGGAGGCGGCAGGCCGGGCGGGATGGGGACCTGCAGCCCTGAGCAATTCCCACATGCAAAATCCCTTCGATGGCGCTGGCTGCCGGGGACAGCAGAGCCAGGGTCCCTCTGTGCCGGGAACAACCCTCAATTGGGAATTTTCYCCCTATAGAAACATATGGAATCGTATAAATTGCCAGAGTCCCGCGCCGCTGGCGGGGCAGCGGAGAGGAGCGTTTTGGCTGCGGCTGATAAATAAAGCTCGGGCTAATTGAGTGCCGGGAGCTCCGGGCCAAGGCGCTTCCAAACACAGCGCGGCTGCCAAAGCGCTATTTTCCGGAGGTTAGATTACTTTCTCCTTTCAAAAATTCAGATCAGTCCCTGCTGCACCGCTTTACCGGASGAGCTGTTCCTCCTTCAGTGTATTTTCCCTCTGAATTTGTCCCTGGAATGGGACACTGCCAGTGGTGATGGCAGATGCAGGGGGACACATTCCCAATCCATGTCTGGGAAGGAAACTGGGCACAGTGTAGTATAACCCAGCTTTTCCCAGGATTCTGGGTCCCCAGCATCACTTTGGGAGTGAGGAGCAGACCTGATTCATTCTCCTTGAGATTCCCTTGGTTATTTCTGGGCACTTTTTTTTCCCAATCTGCTTCCCAACGTCCTCACTTTGACTTGATTGAGTTTAATACTCCCCATGCCGGTCTTGTGCTGTTTAAAGATGCAACATTTCCTGGCTTGGTGCAAAACTGATAATCTCTGGAAAAAGGATAGTTGTGGGTTGACATCAGCTGTTGTTTTGGACAAGCAACTCTCCAGAGCTATTAGTTCACCAGGCTGCGCGGAGCCAGGCGCAACGCTCCGAGCTGCTCCCTGCAAATCCGGCTGCTTTGGGCTTGCATTAGGGTTAAGCAAAGCTCAGAGCTGAGCCCAAGCTTTTCCCAAGCTGAAGCCAGTTGCAACAGGAGCTTTTCACAGCGTGGTCCAGCCGGAGCTGGCRGGGATGCAGCGATGCTCCGGGATTGCCTTTAGCAAGCACGTGCCTGGGATGAGCTTTGGAGCAGGGAATCTCATGGGGACAAAGCCACCTCCATGCACTGTCACCGGGGCAGCTTGCGCAGGCCCTTCTTCTGCTTAGATTCCCGAATTCGGGATTTTGTTTTCATTCCTTGCCTCTGTTTACATTCCTTGTATCCTAGGTTAATTCTTCCAAAATTTGCACAGGAACCGCATCCAGTGCATTACACCCTTGGAAAGGTCAGGCACGAGGAAGCATCTGTGGGAGGAGATGGGGACGGAGAGGGGGGGACCAAGCGCACGTGGGAAAATGTGCGGCGAGCTCCTGGAGGGGACTCGGGGTCAGGCCGGCGGCGCGGGCTCGTGTCGGCGCTCCGAGCCCTTGGAATGGGAGCCGGAGCCAGGGGCTGGCTCGGAAGCGCGGATGGGAGTTCAGAAAGTTGCTTTGAGGCTGGTCTTTTTTTTAAGAGGTGACTAAAAAGCTGCAGCTGGAGCCGGCGYTGTGAGGGAGCCTTGTCCTTGGCTCTGTCCCCAAGGCCACTGTGGGTGCTGTGACATGGGCACGAGTGCTGCTCTTGCAGGGTTATTCCAGTAGTGACATTTTTTGGGTGAAAAGTGCTATTTTGACTTGCTGCAGCAGCACATATGGGAGCTGGAGCCGGGCTCTCTGCAGCCCTGTATCCATGCATGGTCCCGGAGGAGCAGCCAGGGTTGTCCCAGCACCGGGATGCGGGCAGGGAAAGCCACACAGACCCAAGGAAAGGTCCTTCCAGCCCCATGGCTGCCCTTCCAGCACCYCCCGGCCCCAAAGTAAGGAAAAGCAGCCCTGCCCCGGCCCTCCGCCAGCCCGGCAAAGCTCATGGCAAATCTTTTCCGAGGGCCCTTCCAGACTTCTGAGCTCAGAGCAGGGATCCATGGTTGTTTCCAGCCTGGCTGGTTTTGCTGGGAGCCGYTTGCAGCTCAGCTTTACTCCCGCAGCCTTTGAGAAGGGGGCAAAACACTATTATTTCCTTCATTTTTTGTTTTCCTTTATTTTTTTCTCATTTCCAAGAGGGAAAATTAGCTGCAAATACTAAATCCCAGCACAGACCCTTGGCATTGCTCCTTTAGGATCTCTGTGCCGGTGTTTCCCCTGTGGAGAGCACTCCATCCTGGAGCTCCTTTCCAGGGATCATCACTGTGTGGAGAAGAGGGAGCGAAACCCACCTGGAGYTGTGGCAGCTCTGTCAGCCACCAGCTCCCTTGGGATTTGCTGCATTCCCCATTGGCTGCAATTTGGGTCTCCCAGGACGTGGTGGATGCAGGCGATGTCGGAGATGCTCCTGGGCGCCCATGCATGCAGGCCCTGGTGGGTAAAGGGGCTGGGAAAGCACCTTTAGGGTCACGTTTGGAATCTCTAAATAATCCAAGGGTTTATCTTCTGCTTTGGAAAAGGCAAGGAGAGAGGCGCTAATGTGACCACAAATGAGATTCGGAGGCGCTGGAGGCCCTGGGACGCAGCTCCCGCATGAGCTGCGCAGCATCCCGGCGCCAGCATTCCCATGGGAAGCGGCCCTGCGGGATGGGGTCAGCAATGACCTCGCCAGCATTTGTGGCTGCCGAAGGCCACCCAAAGGTCCCTGGCCCTGAAATCCCAGCTGGTGGGAACGGTCAAAACCCATGTGAGAGGGGGAAAAACGCGGGTCTCTTCCTGTGGGGAAGAGCTGTCCCATGGGGAATGCCATCCCGCGGGGCTCTTCCCGAAAGGGTGCCGGGGCCGAGCCCGTCCCCGCGCCGTCCCCTCGGGCTGCACCTCCTCCAAGGTCCCTCCCACTCCCTCCCCACCACGGCTTCCCCGTGCCAGGGAGCCGGGAAGGGCCGGCGCGGCGCGGGGCTGCTCGGAGCGCTGCCGTCGGGCCATGGACGCGCGCCGCGGGCTCGCCCTCGCCTGCGCGMTCTGCCTGCTGCCAGGTAAGCGGCCGCCACCCCCGCCGACCCCCTCCAGCCTCAGGGAAGAGCCGTGGGAAGCGGCGCCCGCTGACGGGATTTGGGGGCGCGCTCGGTGGGAGCTTGCGGCCGGCTGCTCGCGCTCGCCCCGGGGGTCCCCGTCGGCGCTCGCTGCTGCCCGGCTCCCCTTCGACGTCCTCCCGCGCGCTGCAAAGCGAGAAAACCCGTTCTCCGGCTGAGCTCCGCCGGGAGCGTTCCTAAACATCSCGATGCGGGAGCGCGCCAGCTTTTTGGGGGTGTTCCCCTCCCCTTTCCCCGTGGCACGGCGGCCGGCTGGAGCCGGGCGAGCGGCGGCGGAGCTGCCGCGGTTAATGGGGACCATGTGTGGGAGCGCGGGGAGCGCGCGGGGGCCTCCCTGCTTACGTGGGCAGCTGGGGGGGACGTGGCAGATCCTCCCGCCTCCGCCCGGGAGCGCTCCGAGGGAAATCCCACGCCGGCTCCCGGGCCGGCCCCGGCGCCGCATCCAGGGCTGCAGACCCCGCTTGCCACGGCCGCTGTTTTATCGCGTGCCTTAATGTCATTAAATGTGGCCCYACTGCCTATAGGCAACCAAGTGGCTTATCCCTGCCATGGGGGACCGAAATCCGGGATTTCGGAAGCACAAGGCGCTTCTGGAGCTGAGGCTCTGCGGCTGCCGGTTGCACATTTTGCGGTGGCCAGGAACGCTGCGGGACAGGGGCTGGCGATGACTGATTCCATATCCACCTCTGGCATCCCCACGTTTCCAATGCACGGCTGTGTTGAGGAGCAGAAAGCAGCGCCTCTCCAAATGTCCTGAGCCATCCAAGCAGGATAGGGACTTGGTGCTTCCAGCCCTTCTTGCCCACAGGGGCCGGGGACGTTGGAGCGGGAGGGAAGCAGCAGCTCCGGTGCCCTGACCTGCTCCCTCCCTGCCCGCTCCCCAAATACCCTCCACGAAGCTCAAAGGCTTTCTAGTTACGCCAAATATTTCAGCCCTGCAAAATGCAAAAATGTGCAACGCAGATGGGGTCCCGAGGAGCATCCGATGCCACCGGAGCCTGTGGGATGTCAGCCTGTGCCTGGAGGTGCCAGCGCTGGCTCTGCATTTGCTCTTCCTATCTCGAGCAATTCTGTCTCGAGCCAGGGAAATGCCCCTGGCCAGCCAAGCAGCTCCGTTTTGCAAAATATTATTGCATGCAGCGATGCAATAACCTGGGAGCTGCTTTTCCAGAGCATCCYGAGGGATGCAGGAGGACGGGCGTATTTGCAGCATCCCTGCAGCCCAGCAAGGGTCGGGGGCTGCAAGCACTGGCCAGGGACGTCCATACGTTCAGGCTCTCACAAAGAGCAGTTATTTTTATTCCTTTGGCAAGAAAGGTAGCTTTCATTCCCAGTATTGTTTCCCAAATGTGTCTTTATTATTATTATCTTTCCCTTTCAATATTTGACCTGATGAGAATCCAAAGTTTGGACCGGGCTAAAGCTCCAGTTTGGAATGCAGATATTTGAGGCTTCTGCTTTGGCAGCAAAACTTGTGGCTTCGGGTCACTTCTTTGTGACGGTGATGTCACTCCCRACAAGAAAACGGGACCAGGCTCTTYGCATTGCAAAATCTCCCTGCCAGCCTTTCAAAAGGCCCTGATTAATTGAATGCTGTTTAAATACTCCCACATTTTCCCCTCTGCCTCGAATGCATCCGCATCTGTCTACTTTCCGAAATGCCTCCCTCCTGTACACACATTCCCTGGATTTTGCCATCCATTGTTTCAAGCTTGCTTTCAGCTTGCTCCGTTTTTCCAGGCGCTCCGAGGTGGAGCAGGATTTGGGAGCCCGAGTGAGCACCCAGGGGAGCTTTCCCAGGAAAAGGCTTGGATGCAGAGGCTGGGATGTGCTGCTGAGCGCAGTTTGAGCCCCGAATCCCTTTTTCCCTGGACACTGCACTTCCAAAGCAATGCCGTTCCCCTCGGCATTCCCTTGCAGCAGGGCTGTCAGTGCTGGGAGCGATTTTTCCTGGGGATAAATCTTGCAGATTTGTGTCTTAGCTAGAAGTCGTGGAAAACACTGAAGCTGTGTGTCACAGAGAAATACACGGCTTTTTTTACAGAATGCATTAAAAATCAAAGACTGTTCTTGTGAACTCAGTTTTGAATATGTTACATAAGGTCAGCCTACCGCAAARTAGTCTGGATCTGGTCCCATGCATCTCTCTCTCTCCTTTTCCCCCCTCCTTTTTCCTGCTTTCCAGAACTTCTCTCCACAGGCTCCCACAGGTCCTCGCCTCGCTCGCCCTGGGCTCCCGCTTTAGGACGGCCACGTCGCGGATTTGCCCTCTGCAAAATTTCCCATCTCTATTAAAACAATCCTCATTCTGAACTTTTGGTCCGGGAAGTGACGTTCCCAGCTTCTCCTGATGCCAACCCAGTTTTATACCCTATAAATACCAAATGTGGTGCCTCGACGTGTCCTTTTCCTCTTCCAGCTGCCTTTGCTAGCGCTGCCAGCATCTTTTATTTGTATGGGAGCGCGGCATCCACCCGCGGGCAGRCGGGAAGCCGGGATATCCCGGCTASTGCCTCCTCTTCCCAGCGCTCAGCGGAGTCTCCTGCACCTTCCCAGGCACTTGGACCATGCACAGCTAAAGCTAAGGAGAAATTGCTGAGAGGAAATAATTCCGCAGGGAGCACGTGGAGRGTTCGGATGCAGTGCTAGGATACTGCTTCCCACATGGATGTGCATTGGGATGTGCTGGGACAACCCAGCCCTGCAGGATGTCTGCAATTCCCTGTGACTTTTCCCTTCTGGAGGCTGGGAGAGCTGCCTCCATGCAGCTCCATTCCTGGCAGGATAATGCGGCCGGAGGAGCTCAGATAAGGAAAAGCAGGGAGCGAAGCTGGCTGCACGGCAAGAAAGCTGCTCTTGGAGACATTTGCAGCCAGTGTTGGGCCCCTCTGGGCAAAATCATCTGCAATTTTGCAGCCCAGCAAGGCAAAACCAGCAGCAACTTTGCAGCTCTGCTCCTACCTAGAGGATAAAAAGCGTTTATTTTTCCAGGCAATGCCAGAGTGCTTTTTGCCACCGTGGTGCATTGCAGTCGCGCAGGGGCTGCAGGAGGAGAGGTCCCCTGCAGTGGCATCCCCTTGGTGCCCTGCCTGACGTGTCCCGTTCTCCCGCTCTCCGCAGGGTTCAGCGATGCCTTCAACGTTGACACCAAGAGGCCCAAAATCATCGCGGGCTCCAAGGACGCCTATTTCGGCTACACGGTGCAGCAGCACGACATCGGGGGCAAGAAGTGGTAAGTGGGCTCCGTGCCGGGCTCCGAGCGGCAACCGGGGCGAGATGCCAGSGGCTCCTCCTGCTCTCCCTCTGTGCCTGTGGAAAACGGGTTCCGCAGGTGGGAAAAGTCCCCTATTTCTTGGAAAGACCCATCCGCACGTGCGGCTGGAGCCGGGCAGGTGCCGGCAGCTTCGGTTTCACGCCGGCAGGTTCACAGCTCCCCAGGGCTGCGCYGGCTCCAAAACTCCTTGGAAACCCATTGGATTTTTGGGTGGGGGCCAGTGCGTTTTGCGCAGTTTCCACYGGGAGCGGCGGTCTGCAGAAGCGATCGAACCTGCCGGCGGTTCGGCAGCGCGAGGCGAGGCCTGGCTGCGTTTCGCTCGGGTTTTGGGTTTCGGGGCAGGCGTCCCGCTCCTCCGTGGGGACTCTGCACAGCTGGGAAAGGGGCTAAGTGGCCACTCGGCATGTGTCGGAGGAGACATTAACGGGCTCCGTGCAGAGCCTGGAGCAACGAGGGTAGCCCCAAAACACGTGAAATTCCCCCAAATACRGAGCTGCCCGGCCTGGGCTCCCCAGCCGTGCTAGAACAGCAAGCAGGCACTTACTGACGCAGACAGATGCTTTGGAAACTCAAAATAAGGCTTGGATTTAACCTTGGGTTCCCCAGCTCTTGTCCCGGCTGTCAGGACTATCCTCRTTCCCTGTTTCCCTCCTCTTTAACCCGTACCGGAGCCCGGATCCCCGGTGTCACAGTGTGTCACTGCTGGCTCCAAGCCCGTGTGCTGCGAGACCACGAGCGTTACAAGGATTTTCCAGCCTGTACCATGTTTTGAGCTAATTGTGGATGAGCCGCGAGGCCGAGGGCAGGGGGTGGTTATAAGCGATGGTTTGGGATTCGGCAGMAGCAGCAGTGCCGAGGGGGTGTTTGCCGGCACTCCTGCAGTGCCAGGCGTCGGGATGCTGCTCCAGACTCCTATGTTGTCCTGCATTTCATGGGAAGGTGCAACATTTCCTGCACGGCTCCGGCTGCGTGTCCGTGCTCAGCTCCGTGCTCTCTGGATCATGGGCAGCCTCACTGGCTTCAGGGCAGGTCCTGGGCAGGGATTTGGGGTCTCTTTTGCTTGCTTTTGGCTTCACTGTGCCCTAATGGTAGGGGACAGCAAGGACAGGGGACAGCCATCCAGGTCCCCTTGGATGCTGCAAGCCCTGGCATCCTTGTGCCAGTGACCAGCTCTTCCAGTCCTTGGGATGAAGCCCATGGGAAGCCCATGCAAGCAGGGAGCGTGCAGCAGAGCGGGCGCTGCCAACTCTTTGCTTGCTGCCTGTCGATAGGAGAAATGCTGAAATTCTTGTGGCTCGGGGGACAGGGTGGTAGATGGAGAACCTGCTAAATGGCCCCAAAGTGCAGCCCCGCTGCGCTGTGACTCGGGCGCTCAGGACTGCTTGTGGGGAGGAACAACCACGCTGCAATCAGGGACCTGGGGCACGTTTGCTCCGGAGGACGGGCGCAGTCAGCAGATCCTCCCTCTGATTCACCATAGGCCAGCGCCGTGTCAGGAGCTTGGAAAAGCCTGGATTGGGATTACGGGCRTCGTGGCCACCCATGGGTGCCAGGGTGTCCTCACTGGGGACACAGGCAGGTCTGCAAATGCAGGTTAGGACTCTGCTGGGAATCTTTTGGGACACGGGGGGCACCAATGTCCCTTGGTGGGGCCAGAGCCAGCACTTGGGCAGTGACGTCCCCAAGCGGTTGCTGTGACCGCCCCACACTCATTGCTTAGGGACCACACGAGGACACCCGGCCTTGCRCAAACGGACAATGCCCGTTTGCACTGGCGAGCTCAGCTGCTCAGACCGGGTGGCTTTTGGTGCAGGAGCCCGAATGCAAAGTGTCCTCCAAAGGGCAGGCACTGCAGGACGCCGCCGCACCGCGACCCTCCCGCGCTGCCTCACGCGCTCCCGTTTTGTTTTGCACTGGTCTCTGCTGGGAAATACGAAATAGCTCCTATCAGGAATTGGTCCAAACCCCCAGAAATGTGATGGTATTTGACCCGGGACCTGCAGGAGACTCAGCTTCTGCAAAGGCAGCTGATGGCAGGGCTGTTGAAAGCTTGCAGTCCTCCAAAGCTGATAAGGAGCAGGAACGAAGTGTCTCTGCCTCCACATTCCCACCCACCTTTGCTTTTGGAGCATATATTTTTTAAGAAATATTTCATTTGGTCCTGTAAGTGCCAAAAATCTCCCCTTGGAAGGAGCAGCGTGGCAGAACACGAGGGACCYGCGTGGTGGGTGATGCTGCAGTGACCACTCGGTTAGGGATGCTGTTGGGACCTCTCCGTTCCTATTGCAGCAGAGGGAGGATTTTGCTCCTTTTGGGCACGTCTGGCTCCTCTTGGCCCTTCTCGCATCCTCCCTGCCAACATCAACGCAGACTTCGCTGCAGCTTCCTCCTCTGCCCCTTCCTTTGCACGAAAAAACAGGAGGTTCTCGACACAAAACCAGCGTGGGCGCACGCATAAGCACCGCACGCATTCGCACAGGCAATTATATGGTATAAAATGTCTATTAAATATACGTACGTATTTTTCAGAAAAACCACCATGACTCACTTTGGTTAAAGGAGAAATGACCGAAGCAGCAAAACGGCTGCAGCCGGGGAGAAATGGGAAGGATGAGGTGCAACCACAGCTTGTTGCTAAGGCAGAGCCAGGAAAGGCCCTGAAAACCCCCCCGAAAACGTCCTGAGGAGCAAAGGGGGCTCCGAGAGGCTAMATGGTTATCTCAGAAACGCGGCTTGGATAAATAAGAGTGATTGCTGTAAAAACAGGGGAAAACTGGGCTGCYGAGCGCCAAAGGTGGAATCTGAGCCCTTGGCGCTCGCGCTCCCGTCTGAGCCCGTTAATGCTGCTTTTGGCCAGCGTAGGTGGTTTTAGAAGGATTTCAAAGCAGCACACACACACACGTCTACATATTTGTGTATGTATTGGCCTATCTGTGCTCGCACACAAGTTGTGGGTGATATTCCGTAGCAGATAGCCGGTTGTGACTATTTTCTCTTCTTTACTAGAGGGAGCCAGGCYGGGCTCTGAGCGCAGCCCTGGTAGTGGAAAATCCAGGAGGAAAGAATTTGGCGGGTTGAGCTCCAGGGGAAAACTCTGGGATATGCGTTGGGCTCGAGAAGCYGTCGCTTCGTGGGGTCTCCCGGGCCGGTCAGCGACTTTCAGCACTTTTCTCGACACTTTTTCATTAAATTGAGGGCGCAATCGCAGCTCCCTCCAAATATGTGGATGGAAAAAGTGGTAACGAAGCCGCTGTGATGAGCAGCACAGCTTTGCACAGCAGCAATAGCTGCTTTAATGCAGAGTGTGCTCGGTGCAGGCACYGAGGCCTGAATGTCCCCAAAATATGGGGTGGCCTGGCCTGGAGCTGCTCTCTACCCCAATGTGCAATGGGGATTGCACTGGTTTGGACCCGCTTGCAGCTGCAGACTGGTTTGGTTGGACAAATAAGTGTATTCCAAGGTGCACCCTGTATATGATGCACCCCATGCGCGATGCATCCCCATATGTAAGGTACCCAGTATGCAATGTACGCTATATGCAATGCACCCTTTATGTGATGCACYTCTGTATGTGATGCACCCTATACATGATGCACCCCATATGCAGCTTGCACCCGTTTYGTTCTTTGCCCTGCACCAACTTGTGTCTGCAGAGTGAGAATTTCCAGTGATGCAAAAGGCTGAATTCTTCCCCAGCTTGGGAAGAATTGACTGCAGGAGGAGAACATAGGAAATAAGCATCYGTTAGCCTTCAGAAACTGTAAAAATAACAAATATGTGTTCCCTGGAGAGTGCAGGAGAGCATTGAACAGAGCCCTGCTCCTGTTGAGGTGGGATTGCCTGGGCTGGSTCTGGATGGACCCCGCACGGGGAGAGCTGTGATTCGGACAGGACRTTTGCAGCCCAGGGAACGTGGGAGCCAGGTGCCAACCTGCAGCTGTGCTGATCTGGACGAGTGGTGCCGGGTTTGCTCCTTCCCCGTGTCYGTGAGCACCATCCCTGGCTCGCTCCCACGCACACCGATGGCTTTGGAAACTGGGCATGTGGCTGCGAAGCTTCCTCAGCGCTGGGAAGGGCTGTTCCCACCATTCCCACACCTTCGTATCACACCACTCACTTCCCAAGGGCTCCGGGGCTCATCTGGCAGGGAGCCCCTCACCTTGCTGCAGGGCATTCTCCTCCAGGCAGGATTTTGGGGGCCCATTCCTGGCCATGTTGGGGTGTCCCAGGCTGCTTCTCAGTTATCACGTCCATCCCAGAGCTGGGGTTCTTCCCAATGGAAGTGGCTTGGGCACATGCACCGGCTCCCAGCTCAACAGGGCTGTCCAGGATTGGTCTGGCTGGTGGCAGCAAGGCACGGTGCCACCAGGACCCATAGGTGCTCCGGATACCTTCCAATCCCAAGGGCTTCCCAGGGATTTCTGCAAACCCCAGGACGCTGAGGTGCCGCTCTGAAGGGCTGCACGGCTGCGCTGACCGACGCTGCTCCACTTTCCCCAAGCGCAAGGGGAAAAAATGACGCCAGGAAAACAGGAGCGTATCATTACCGCTGACCACGGCTCTCGGCGAGCTCCCCGCGCGTGCCTCGCGACGCACCCGTCATATGCTATTTTAAGGAGAAATCCGGCGATTTTGCTCACTGCAAAGGCTCATKAATCAGCATGACTGCTGCAGGGCTCAGTGCTCCTCAATCCCTTGGGATCCACCAGCTCCCGGGCCCTCCCTGGGCTCCCTCTGGGTATTTCTTTTCATCTATTGCCGAATGCACTATGTGCAAAATTTGCACAGCAGCAAAATCCCCATTTCCAAGCTCGTTCAGAGCTCTTCCAGTTCCCCGTATTGTGTCCAACGAGCTGCAGACCCACTCGGAGTTTTCCATAGCCCTTTCCTGCGCCTCCTCCATCCCTTCTCCATCCAGCCCCATCTTGAAGGCATTAGCGGCACAGGGGTTGCCTTGCTGCAGATTAACTGTTCCACGGGCTGGGAAGCCCGCGCTGTCCCTCCTGCTCCGTGTGCCAGGCTCGCCCGTCCTYGTAACTTCCCTCCCTGGGTTATTTCCAACTAATCCAAGCATTTCGGGTGGCCAGGCCTGGGCTTGGCGTCTCCTCCGCGATGCACTGAGGCCATGGTGTCCATCTCCAGGGGGTTCTCAGCTCCMGATTTTGTGCGTTTGAGCATCATATATAGGAGGAAAGTGTAAAGTGGAAGCCAATTTTTAAGGGGCATGTGGCAGAAATTAAAAAACARGAGATAAAGAGTATTTATAGAATAAGTAAAATGACTGGGCTGATGCCCAAGATGGTCCGAGCAGGACAGTGGGTTTGGTGGGAGCAAAGAGGCAAGTTGCTATCCCCAACCGGTGGGAAAAGAGCTGTCCTATGAGCCCAGGCTCACCCCTTCCCTGAAAACCCTGCAATCCCCATGCAGCTTCCCGTGTGATGCTCCAGGCCTTGCAGGTTTAAGCATTTCCATCAGATTTGCCTTGGCGCCGCCCTGGGTTATTTTGGGGGAGAACCATGCGGTATTGGTGATGCGCACGGGAAGCTGTCTGCATCCGCGGCGACTTCCCGGGCGCGGATCCCGGGGCGCAGCGCGGACGTGGTGGCCAGGGCTAAAGCCTCTGACACGCAGCAGTTTTATATCGTGTTTTGCAGCACGGCTGCTGCCTGCAGGCGCTCCGAGCGCTGCAATAACTGCACATTTCAGAGACGTTGTCCCAAAACAGCAGCAGCAGCGCTGAGCACTCGCCTAATCCTCACGCGAGGTGAAACCATTTGAAATRATACAGAAAGAAACTGCAAATTCTGCTGCTGAATCCAGCCTGTTATTTTGCTGCCTGGTAGGAAATTCCCTGTGGTTTCCTGTGCTGACACTGGGGGCCGGGACACCAGGAATGGGGACAGAGCTGGGCCTGAAGCGCCCGGTGGCTGCAAAGCAGCAGCGCGGTCCCTGTCCCCTTGCTGCAGAAGCAGCACAGATCCTCCTCGAGCATTTCCACTAATGCGCTGCTTTATTTTTCCAAGCTTTTTTTTTTTCCAGGATAAAAGTTAAAAGCACATCCTCAGGCGTATTGCTGCATTGCTCTGGACAGTGTGATTTTCTCATTGAACTCCCTTTTTGGCGTTTGCTGTCCCCAGGAGGAGACATGGAAAGGAAGAGAGGCAGGGGGGATTGTTTGCTGCTTATTTTGTGCATGCAAAACCAGTGCAGCTGGTGGCCTCGCGCAGGCGTTTCTCGCGCTGCGTCACGAAGGGCCCTTTTTCTGGAAAAAAACACACGTTTAAACCGCAGTTTATAAACCCCAGCACTACAAGAGGCTTGTGAGCAACCTGCAGACCAGTGTCTCCTTGCAGCATGGCACGTCACCCCCGCAGCAGCTGCAAAAACCCTTCCCYTTGGCTGCCGATTTTCCGTGAGATTTCGACAACTTCGGCTAATTCCTCGCTTAACTCGAAAGGGAAAACTATGTCATTGTCCTCGGGACGTGAATGCCGTTTGCATGAGCTGCGCGACCCTGGCATTTCAGGCAGCATCTGTGAATATTTGGGCTCGGAGCTCTGCCAGCGGGCCGGGAGTTGGTGGCACGTGTTGTTTTGCAGCCTGCCGTTTTGGAGGGATGTTTTGACTCCGTAAATGCTGCCCCGTGGGTTAAGGCCACCGGTCCCTGCAAAGTGGCCTGTGGTGCTTGGTGCCCCTCCGATTAGATTTTGCAAATCTCGAACCAGTGAGCAAGTCTGTTTTATAGTGATGCAATGAAAGAATTAGTGCTCAATGCCTTTGGAGAAACAGGGCTACAAAAATGACCGTTTCTGCTCTAACCAGGAATATCTCTGCTCAGGACTGTCTCTCTTCCAGCAGTTTTCYGGGATGATACAGAACAAAAGAGGTTCTGTTTCCCTGGAGAGCTGCATGTGGAGSCTTACTTCAGCTTGCCTCCTCCGGAAGGATTTTGCAAGCAAAATGCAGGAGAACAGCTATATTTTGGGCTAACATATTGGGAGCAGCAGTTGCCAGACTCCCGTGGTTCAGGATATTTTTGAGCTCGCCTGGAAGGAATGGCCGGATTCCTCAGGTCCCGCTCTCCTCCCTCTGCTCTGCTGATTTGTGCTATTCTTGTCAAGTCCAGTGGAAAAAAAAAGCAAGAAAAGCACAGACAGACACACAGACACGTGCAGAGAGCAGCCCAGCTAATTGCCTGCACCCTGGGTAGGAGTCTGGGTATTTATCAGCTCATTAGCTCTTACTTTAAGGCACTGCTAGATGCCAAGCAGTCCCATCCTCCACTGAGGTGGTTATCCTCCTGCACCGCTCTGGGCTCCTCATCCTCCAAGAAAAGCTCTGGGAAATCCTTTCTTTGAGCTTCCTCATGGAGAAGACTCCCACAAGGTCTTAGTACGAGTGGGGGCTCCTCATTTTTGCTCCTGGTGTTGCTAAACAGGGAGTTTCTCCTTTCTAGCTGGCTTCCTAACATGCATCTTCCAGCCCATCCTGATGTTGAAAGGTTCCTCCCTTCAACAGTGAGGAGGTGGGAAGCGGATTCTCTCCCCTGGRCACTGGCAATGCCATGGCCCCATAAGGAGACCTCAGAAGGGTGCTGATGGCTTCAGTTCCTACCCTGGACATGAGCTGTTGTCTTCTCCCGTTGAGCACGGTGACAAGCCCTGMCGAGCTGCAGCCAGAGGATGCTCCCTCCAATGCGTCATCATCCATGTGGGAAGTTCTTGGGCCATATGTCATGTTGGCCACCACCGGAGAGAGCGATGGTGACCAGCCCTGGTGGCCTCCAGCAGTAGGGAAATGCACCCTTGGCCTGGGCAGTGTGTGGAGTGACCGTTTCTGTAGGAAATGCCTATTTCAGGGAAGGAAGCGGTCTGTCACTGAGTCCTCCTGTGCCATTTATGGACGCACAGCATGCCCAAGGAGACTCGCATAGATGTCTCTGTCCAAGTCCCTTGTCCAACCTCAGAGATAKCCCTCAGACAGAGATGCCTCCCCTTCCCTTTCCTGCAGGCTCTCCTGGTGCTGGATACACTGGACTTTTGTGGCTTGCAAGAAGCCATAACTTTTTTTTTTTTGACCACTTCTTTGCGAGTTTCATTTTTCTCATGAAAAAACAGCTCTGGAGAGTGGTGTCGGGGTGCTGCTGACAGGAACCTCTGTCTCCTCTTCCTCTTCCTCTTCCTCTTCCTCTTCCTCTTCCTCTTCCTCTTCTCTTCCTCTTCTCTTCCTCTTCTCTTCCTCTTCTCTTCCTCTTCTCTTCCTCTTCTCTTCTTCTCCTCAGGCTTGTGGTGGGAGCCCCTTATGAAACCAACGGGCAGCAGAAGACAGGGGATGTCTACAAGTGCCCGGTGAACGGCAGCACCCACAGCAACTGCACCAAGCTCAATCTAGGTACCAACTGCATGGGATCGGGCTGCTGGACACGGCAGGGTGGCACCTTGGGGGCTCGGTGGGCGCATGGGCTTTCCTTGGGCTCTGAAGACCCCTGTTGCTCCAAGAGCCCAGGGCCGGCAGGTTTAGGAAGGATTTTTAGGTGTTCATCTAACCCCTGGTGTTGGGCTTCAGGAAACATCAAAAGTCAAGCAGCTTGGGATAAAATGAAAATGCATTAGCACTTATTATGCATTATTGTACATTTATGATAGCTTGCATGGTTTTGTTTGATCAGGATTAGTCTTGACTTGAGCAGCATCGTCTGGGTTTTTGGGGAAAAGCAGCTGTGCAGTTGTCTTTTTTTGTTGTTATTATTAATGTGAAGTATTCCGAGCTTCAAATCTGATAAGGCTGCAAGAGCTTTGGCTCGCTCGAAACATTTCTGAACTGAAAGTGAAAAAAAAGAYGGGAGCCAAATCTATTTTTGTTCAAAACCATTCAGTTTTCCTTTTTCTTTTATTTCTAATGGCAACAYCAAAATCCTTCAAGGAAATAAATCTCTTCTGTGTGCAAATCTGATTTTTTCCAGAAAGCATTTTTTTTTCCCCATTAGAAACAAATCTTGAATGAGAAGATCTATCCCATGTGCACTTGCTGGTTTTTATTTTTAATTAGCCTGTCTAATTAGAACGGTCCATTGGGAGCCTTTGAGTAAAGCCAGACGTGGAGCTGTGGATGTGCAGAAGTGGTGTGAGATGCTGGTGGCCCCCCATCCTCACCTGCCTGTAGCTCCTGAGCTGGRGGGCCTGGTGCTCCTGCCCAGTGGGTCTGCACCACGTAGGAATGTGATGGAGCTCCAGCTGGATCTGCAAGAGCTCCTGGCGATGATGGGTTGTGAGCAGATGCCCTTCCAATAGAATGGGAAGAAGCTTCCATTTCATTGGAAAGAACCTTCCCGTTGAATGGAAAGAACATTCCTGTTGAATGGGAAGAAGCTTTGATGTTGAAATGACCTCGAGAWGCTCATCAGGAGGCACAAGTGAGATGCAGGAAGGAGCTTTCCCCAAGCTGGAGAATTTTAGCAGAGGGCTGGTCCAGGGCTGCATCCCCCAGGTCGGGATGCTGAGCCYGGTCTGACCTCCCTCGCGCTGCGGGTCCAGGTTTGCATTTGAGCCACCTCCTGGTTTAAACCTCAGCAAGGACCTTCCAAAGGCCCCAGACAGAAACAAAACAAACAAACAAAAATACTATAAAGTGACCAATTTCCTCCCCTGCRTTTTTTTTTCTCAGCCACCACAGGCTGAGCTGTGTTTTTGATGTCCAGATGAAGCTATGCTGGAGGAGCGGATGGAGCAGACAGTGTTTTTGTTAAAGCTAGAAGATATTAATGTTAACCCAAATAAAATGCTGCCCCGTGGGCCGTTCCCGGTTTGAGGATTAAGACAAGAGGAACGGAAGAAATGTACGGCTGTAAATCTGGGGYTGAGCGTAAAAAGCTGCTAAAGAGGAGACGTGAGAGCCGCTCATTCCCAAAGATTTACCGTGTAGGAAACGCAGTTTCCGACTCGCTGTTTCACTCGCTGGAAGGCTTGTTTCTCTTTGTTGATTAGGGATTTAGGGGGAAAAAAATTATAAGCCTTATCTTGAGAGCAGCTTCCAAGGGCGGCCGAGCTGCGGCGTGAGCAGGGCGGCGCTCTCCCGGGGCTCCCAGCCGGATCCCTGCCGCTCCGGGGCCACGGGGGCCCGAGGGAAGGATGGATTCTCACAGTCGCCCCATGCCACGTGCTTAATCCCGGCGCCGCTCCCTGCCCTCTCCTCCCTGCAGGAAGAGTGACGCTCTCCAACGTGTCCGAGCGGAAGGACAACATGCGCCTGGGGCTCAGCCTGGCCACCAACCCCAGGGACARCAGCTTCCTGGTAAGAAACGGACCTTGGCATTAGCTCTCCCTTGCCATGCAAGGAGCCGAGGCTTTTCCCTAAGTGTAAACACATAAAGTTATGCAAAAATGCAGGCACAAATTCACGCCTATGTTGCATGCACGCGTGCCAAAACCCCTTTGCTGCTCTTCAGCACCTCCGGAGCGACGGCTCCGTAAGGGGCACTTTTCCGAGTGCTGCAGATGCTCTGTTTTCCCCCGTTTCTGCAGGCCTGCAGCCCGCTCTGGTCCCACGAGTGCGGCAGCTCCTACTACACCACAGGAATGTGCTCCAGGGTGAACTCCAACTTCAGATTCTCCAAGACCGTGGCTCCCGCTCTGCAGAGTACGAGAAACCATCTGCTTTGTAGCCCATAACGCAAAGCCGGCTTTTGAAGTCAGGGAGTATTTTTGCTCTTTAAGCGCTCCAGTGCCGTTGAGGAAACCAAGCAACATCCCTATTTAGCAGGAGGAAAGATAGGAGAGGAAATTATTGCAGGAAAGCAATTCAAAGGGAGTTGCGTACGCGGACATCTGGTAAACATTTTCCTTTTGACTGACACCCCGGGAAGACAAAAAATACCTTATTCTTCCAAGAACAGAAGTAAAAGTATCCAGAATATTTTATCAGCACGGTTAGCAAGGCAAAATAGGGAAAGAATTCAGCTCCTGGCCGCACAGCACAAAGAGCTCATTGACTGAAAGCTGAACCTCTTGGCCCAAATTTGTAAACGCGGGTGCATAAAGCCAGGTCCTGGTTTTATTCGGAGGCTTTAAATGAGCCTCCTGGTTTTGCTGTAGGTGTGGAGACATCTCAAGGGCTGGTCCGTGGAGGGGATGGGTTTGCTGGGCTCTCCCAGCACAACCACAGCAGAGCCCCATGGTCACCAGCCCCATGGTGGTCACCAGCCCCATGGTGGTCACCAGCCCCATGATGGTCACCAGCCCCATGATGGTCACCAGCCCCATGGTCCTCAATGCAGGACCAGGACCAGCACCTGCCACCAGGCGAGCGGTTTTTATGGGTTTCACGTATTGCTTCCCTCCCTCCCATCCCCGCAGATGCTCCTTTTCAGCCCTTGCTGTGAAGGCTGCCGGTTCCTTGGGAGGCAGAAGGTTAACACGTGCCGTGCATCCCTCGGCGTGCTCGTCTTTCCGGGTCCTGCTCTTGAGTTCAAAGCGCCGTTTGAAGCCGCTCGTGTCACCCTGCTGACAACCCTGGGTTATCCCAACGTGCAGCCGCATCCCCATGGACCAGCCGCTGAACGGCTGCACCCAGTGAGCCCGTCACCAAGTTGTGTCTTCTGGGCTCCCTCTCTCAGTACCACCAGGAAAATAAACACGAGACACAGAGATTAGGTTGAATAATCTCCGGTCCACTTCCTAAACCCCTTGCAGCCCTTTCTTTTGCTAGGGTTCCCAGTGCGGTTTTTGGCTTAGACAATACTGGTTTTAACGAGAACTTGCACAGGGAAAGGCTGCACAAGAGAGGGAAGGGAGGTCTCCGGCTGCATTAGCCCGGATGGAGGCCGGCATCTGGATCAGAGGAAATATCACCAGGTGGCCAGGTGTTATTCTTAGAGATTTTTCCCTCTTTTTTTTTCAGAGCTGAGAGGATGCATGTGGGCTCTTCCTGTCTTAGGGAAGCAAATACGACCTGAAGGCCTTTGTGAATGTTTGAAATGAGATTTTTTTCTTTTTTTTATACAAATCATAAAAGCGAATACAGCAAGGAATTAGACCATAAATTTCTTCATTGCAAGTGCTGCCAAGATCTTTCATTAACCCACCGTGTCTTTTTCACAGGATGCCAGACGTACATGGACATAATCATAGTTCTGGATGGATCAAACAGCATCTACCCTTGGGTTGAAGTTCAGCATTTCCTGATAAACATCTTGAAAAAGTTTTATATCGGCCCCGGACAGATTCAAGTAAGCCCATGCTCAACGTGGTRCTCTTCTGTGAACATCCACGCTGCTGCTGTGCTTCTCTGTCATGCACATTCCCCAAGCCKTTTGCAAAGCCCCTTTCCTGCCAATTTGTTGTAGCTTGGCACCATGCTTCTCAAAATAAACACCCAACATATGCATTTTAAAGCCAAGCCCATGGAAATAACGCTTGTCCTTAAATGAGCTATGGAGGAAGGAGCAACCCACACCCTGGCTGGGCTCGGGGAGGATGAAATCATGGGGAAACACAGCAATAAGGTCCCATATAGGCATGACCGGCTGCGGCCGTGAAGGTCTCCCCATCCTCCTCGTGTTGCTCTTCATGGGGTTAGCCATTATCCGCTGTTATCTCTTATCCGTTATGTGTTTTTAATGCCGCTCTACTCCCCAGGTGGGGGTGGTTCAGTACGGAGAAGACGTCGTCCACGAGTTTCACTTGAACGACTACAGGTCCGTGAAGGACGTGGTGGCGGCTGCGAGCCACATCGAGCAGCGGGGCGGCACGGAGACCCGCACAGCCTACGGCATCGAGTTCGCCCGGTAAACCCCCCGCCACGGCCTGCCTTCCGCTGCCCTCACGTCATCCTCTGCTTCTGGCCTCCTTCTCCCCACCTTTCTGCGGTCTCAGCCCCTCAAATGCACCCACATCCGCACCCCAGCCTTAGGCTCAGCTCTTCTTTGCTCCCGCGTTAGGTAACCGGGAGCTTGAAGCCCCAAACCACAGCTACAGCCCCTCCTTTTAGGGGAATAAATGCCTATTTTGTGCAAATTCCCACTGTAACTCCCAGGCAGAACCTGRCTGATTTCCCTGGTGCAGATTTGGACCATTGAGCTCAAACAGAGGATTCCCACCCAAAAGAGGCCACATCCCCTGCAGAGGTCCATGGGAGCGCAGGGTCCCCTGGGTGGGTGACGTGGGACCGTGGGCAGGGTCCACGGGTGGTGGCGGGGGCCGTGGGTGGCACAGGGGCCGCGGCGAGGGACCGCAGCCCGCCCGGCAGCCCTGAGCAGCCCGGGACATCTCTTCACTTGCAGCTCGGAAGCGTTTCAGAAAGGTGGCCGGAAAGGGGCAAAGAGAGTAATGATTGTAATCACAGATGGAGAGTCGCACGACAGCCCAGACCTGGAGAAGGTGATCGAGGACAGCGAGAGGGACAACGTCACCCGCTATGCGGTGGCTGTAAGTAGAAGGGGGGACGGGCCACCAGCCACCAGTTGCCAAAGCACCTCAACAGAGATGCTTGTTGAGGTCCATGGTCCCCATGGCCATCCTTAATCCCTGGGCACTATCAGAGCGGCTTGGGAGCAACCAGCTATGGGAGTCACCAGCCAGGACCTTGGGGTCTTTGCCCAAGGGCAGCTATGAGCCAGTGCCTTCGTTTGCCCATCTGCAAACCAGGCCCTTGCTGAGCGTGACACTGGAATATAACCTGTACAGAAGTCAAATGTGACCCCCTGGGTGAAGGATACTCCATATGAGTTATAACAACTTAGGGACATGGTTTACTAGACATGGTGATGATGGGTTTATGGCTGGACTTGATAATCCTGAAGGTCTTTTCCAACCATCRTGATTCTCTGATTCTTGCTCCCCAGTTTGCAAGTAATGCAGGAACTGGATATATCAGGCAGGGAAGGGAAGCATAGACTTTGTGGCTCCTTGCAAGCGGAGATGTCTGGTTTGGGTGACCTGGAAGAGCTCCGTGCAAAGCAAAAACCCTCTCAAGGCTTGCATTTTTATTCCAAACCTAGGTCCTGGGCTATTACAACAGAAGAGGCATCAACCCCGAAGCCTTCCTGAATGAAATCAAATTCATAGCGAGCGACCCCGACGACAAGCACTTCTTCAACGTCACGGACGAAGCGGCGCTCAAGGACATCGTGGACGCRCTGGGCGAGAGGATATTTAGCTTGGAAGGTGAGTGGAATGTTCTCCAGCACGCGGGGCAAGGATGGATCATTGGGAGCCAGCCCACGTTCCTCATGGCCAGGCTGCAGAGCATCATTGCAAAGGGCAGACCTTCCTCCACCATCTCCTCTCCTTGCAGGGCATAAAGCCCTACTTTGAGCATCTTCATTTTCCTGCCTCTGTATGAGGATCATCCTTCTCTTGAGCTCTTTGCAGCCCTCCAGGTGATGGAGCCCGCAGCCCCTCTCCCCCACCTACCAGCTCCATCGGTCTGCATTGGCAGAGCTCTGATTTTGCTGTAATTTAGAGCAAATGTGGGGTTTGGCTGTGGGTACGCTGGGTGGCAGCCCCTGTCTTGTCCCCACCCGTCCAATGACACTTAGATCCAGCCAAGTTACAAGCAGGTAAAACTCACTGCATGCCCAGCGCTAGGSATGCCCTGGAGCACCGGAGGTTATGGAATTGGGAGAAAAACAGTGTTTTGATCTGTTTTGGCTTTAGCTTGCTAGCTGAAAGAGAACATGAGGAAAGATCATTGTTTTTTGTCAGTCTCAGCGAAAACACTCTGTCAAAATGACCCTCTCCTCACCTCCCCCGGGATGTGGCTTTTGCTGGATTAAGTGTTTCTTTCCTGGTGACGAGTTTGCTCCTTCAAAGCAAATCTATCCAAGCTTCCTAGGAAAACTACATACCGAAGCGAATGATCAGAACAAAATACAGAGGGTTTTCACTTAAAATGAAACACCTTAGGGCTTTGGCTTGTGAGATTTGGTTCGGAACAGCTCACGAATGCCCCATTGGTTCTGCTAGGGAGCTCGGTCCAAGCAGCTCAGTGGTTTTCTGGGGCAGAAAGCATCACCTGAGAGACCTTATCTGCCTGCAAAAAATGAAGTAAAATCCTCCAGAAACTCATTTCTGGGAGATTCTGCAGCTCATAGTATTTATCCAGTGGCTGAGAAGCAACGCAAGTCGGTGCAATGGTGATTTGGGGTGGAAACAGGCACATTTGCAGCAACTGAGACCTTTGGTGCTGCAGAGGTGGCTGTTGGTCTCTCCCAAGTCCACCAAGCAGCCCTGCTCCTCCTGGAGAGCTTTCCAGCAAGTGCAAATTCCTCTTTATTTTAGGAACCAACAACAAGAATGAAATCTCCTTTGGCCTGGAGATGTCCCAGACTGGATTTTCATCACATATTGTGGAAGTAAGAGAGCAAATGCACTTGTTCGGTTCCTCCTCCTGGTTTTTTTTGTGTGGAAAGCTGACCCATGGAAAGGGTTGGGATGGTTTTAGCACGTGAGGTCAGGCTGTAAATTCAAGTGACACTTTTAAGACGTGTTTAATTTTTGTGTGTCRATGATTAATCTGAGTCTTTTGTGTATCTCTAAGAAATAGCTTGTTTTTCCCAGAGAAAATATCTCCTGAAGCTTAGAGACAGTATCTCTTCCCAGATTTTTTTCCCTGTATTTTCTCTGCCGCTCTTTGAGGGAACTGGATCTATTAAATAACATCCACATTTGTGCCCAAGCCTGTACTGTGTAATACTGAAGTAAGCACAAGTCTTGACTGGAGGTTAAATTCACCCTAGYACAAATTCAGCAAAATTTAGGCCCTTTCTGAACGTAGGGACCTTCATTTTAGGGTTGCTGATGGGCTCCACGGGCCCCTGGGTCAGAKCTAAAAGTCAGCAAGGATTTTCTGCTCCAGCTTAGAAATAAAATAGAATAACACAGCATGAAATAACACARTGCATGCAAAGCAGAGGTGGAGCGGTTAAACCAGGACAGCCTCTGCCACGGGCTGCAGGCTCGGTGTGCGGCGGGAGGATGCCACTGTAACCATTTTTTTTCTTTTTTCTCCCCATTTTGTGAGGTTCCTCTCTGTTTCTGCAAATGGCAAGTGTGGTTTCTGGGTGGGACGGCTCTGCTCTGCTGTTTTCTGCCTCCACTTTGTGTTTTCTGGTAGGGTTTGGGCTCTTAGGAGGCAGACCAGGGGAAGCTGGCGCCTTGCCCAGTGCCCCGATGCCGACTGCCCATTTCCCCCAGGACGGGATCCTGCTCGGGGCCGTGGGCGCCTATGACTGGAACGGAGCTGTCCTCAAGGAAACCAGCAGTGGGAAGATCATTCCCCTGCGAGAGTCCTATCTCCAGGAGTTCCCAGAGGAGCTCAAAAACCACGGCGCCTACTTAGGTAAGCGAGCCCAAACCGKCTCCCTTTCCAGGGCAGAATGCATGATTTTACGCTTAATAATAGAAAACGCGGAATATTTCACGGCTGAGTCATTTTTGCCGGYGCTGGCACCGAGTGCCCGGTGCTCTCGGAGCTGCTGGCTCTGATGGATCTGCATTACCTCCTGCTAAGCGAGCACCTTGCCAGGGAGGGCTCCAGACCTAGCCTGCCATAGAGCCCAGGGGCATGGAAACGCAGGAATAATCCGGGCATGGGCTGCGGCCAGTGCAGGTCAGCTACGGTACTTACTGGAACGGTTTAGCAAACACTGATGAAATTTCATGCCCGCAGAGGAAATACCTGCTGTGTTAATCCATTCCATGTGCGGCTCTCGGAGGCCCGGAGCAAGAGGAGCAGCTCGGCTCCCAGCCTCTTTCCTGAGCTGCACGAGCCCGGCTTGTCCCTCCGTGTCCGGGAACACCGGGAGCCCTGGGACACACGGTTTTCCTCCAAGAAATAGCAGGGAGAGCAGCAGAGCCTCATTTCAGCTGGACTCTCAGTGCCTGGAGCGGGGACCGCTGCGGTTGTGCAAAGAAATGTTCCCGACCATAGAAAGAAATGTTCACGCGGGATTTTGGGTTGATCCTGTCTTTGCTGTTGAGTCAAGGAGGCAAAAAATGAGGTATTCCAAACAGCCTGGTGTGTCCTGCTGCAAAGCAGCCCTGTTGTCCAGCTCCAGGTCTTCCTGAGGCTAATGCCTTGTTTGAGGAGGTCAGCACCAGGGAAATGGATGCATTAACCCCTGAGATACTCCAAATCCAAGTGGAYGTGGCCCTGAGCAGTGCGCAGCTTCGGAGGTGGCCCTGCTTGGAGCCTGCAACGCTTTAAGTAGCTTGTAAAACCGACTGTGAATGTGCAGGAGGCCGGGCTTAGCTGCAGGTTGACCAACTTAACTCCTATTCCAGCTACTGCAGCCCACAGAGGCTGCCAAAGCTCACACGTGGAGAGAGGTGTTGGTGATTCCTGTGCAGAAAACGCTCCTTGAGCTCAGGGGAAACGGCTCCCTCGGGGTCTTTAGCTTATGTAGGGCTGTTTGCATCAGGACTGTGGGGCAGTGCTCTGTGTGGATTTATTGCATGGTGGATTTTGATGTCAGACATCAGCGACGTTGCTTTGGACGCAGCTCCTGGCAGGCTCGTCCCGGGGCACGCTCCGGGTCGTGGTGAGCTTAGCTTCATGCAAGTTCTTGGGCATCCCTATGGGCTCGCCTTCCACAAAAGCAGCGTCTTACACATGCCTTACGAGCTGCACCAGCCCGTGCCAAAGCCCTCATGGAGGAGCCCAAAGCACAAGGTCCTAGCAGCWGGGTTGGCTTGGAGGGCTCTATCTCTGGAGAAACCTCCATTTATAGCTTGCCGATTTGGACCGCGGCCAGCGCTCTCTTAGCAGCTTGACGTTAACGGGAAGCAGCCGGCGGGGCCGCGCGYGCTCACGCTCGCCCCCGGCGCAGGTTACACCGTCTCGTCCGTGGTGTCGGCCGCGCGCCAACGCATCTACGTGGCCGGAGCGCCCAGGTTCAACCACACCGGGAAGGTCATCATCTTCACCATGCACAGCAACCGGAACCTCACCATCCACCAGGCGCTCAAGGGCGAGCAGGTGAGGCTCTCCACGCTCCTCCTCTCCRTGGCTGCCCTTCCATCCGCCCTTCCAATCCGTTGGGTTGCACCCAACGGTTGCAGCCCTCTCCTGCAGATCTGCAAGGGGTCCCTCTCTTGCAGATCGGCTCCTACTACGGCAGCGAGATCAGCGCGGTGGACGTGAACGGCGACGGCGTCACGGACGTGCTGCTGGTCGGGGCCCCCATGTTCTTCAGCGAGGGCAGGGAACGGGGCAAGGTCTACGTCTACACCCTAAGAGAGGTGATTGCCCCCCGTGTGCCAGGACATGTGGGGCTCCAGTGCTGTCCTGGWCAGAGAATTTGCCCTTTTTTGCCCCGTTTATGAGGGGGGAGATGCGTGCTTTGTGTGCGGCAGGCACATTTGCACCCAGGGACGCTGGCTCTCCGCCTCGCACCAATATCCAATCTGCCACTTCTTTTCCCCGGAGTTTCTGGCTGGCTGGATGAAAGGCTCCATGGGCGGGAGGAGTTGCACTGGGTTTATTTTGCAGGGCTCTTGTGGGCCGTTTCTGTTTGTTTGCCTTTTGGGGTTTCCTCGGCTTTCCAGGCTCGCTGCTAACGCTCTTTTTTTCTGCTTTTTTCCCTTGGCTCCTTGGCCGTTTTTGCAGGACCGCTTTGTTTCCAGCGGGGCCCTGGACGACTCGCAGGGCTACCAGAACGCCCGCTTCGGCTCCTGCATCGCCGCCGTCTCCGACCTCAACCAGGACTCCTACAACGACGTCGTCGTGGGGGCGCCGCTGGAAGACGACCACCAAGGAGCCATCTACATCTTCCACGGCCGCGGAGAGACGGTCCTGAGGAAATACAAGCAGGTGCAATTCCCGTCGGCTCCTTCTCCCCCCGAGCTGTGGCCACCAACAAAGTCAAAGGGTGTTTGGCTACAAATTTCCACTGGCGTTGCTCGCCGTTGCCAGATGGGTTCCCTTGTGATGCACCCAAGACAAAGCAAAGGTTATTTCTGGAAAGCTGGCTTGAAATTAGGGGTTCCCACCACGGTTCCCATGCATGCCATTTATTCCTTGGCCTCCCCAAATGCATTCCTGCATTGCACTCGTGCAGATGCTTCCTGGGCTTGCTAACACGACACAGCCCTGAGCTTGCTTTGGGGGCCGGCAGCGACGCTCCTGCTGGAAACAAGGCTGGATTTTCTTTTCTTTTCCCTTCTTTTTTGCTTTCCAGAGGATAGCAGCTGTGGAGCTCGGACCGGGCCTGATGTATTTTGGATGCAGTATCCACGGCCAGCTGGATCTGAACGAYGACGGGCTCGTAGACCTGGCGGTTGGCTCCCTGGGGAACGCCGTGCTGCTCTGGTTAGCTATATCTCATCTGGCACTGTCTCCTGCCCTAAGGTCACTGCGCCTGTTGACGTCTCTTAACATCAGTTTTGCCCTTAAAATCRGGCCGGTCTCCACAATAACAACCTCTTGTCTCGCAAGGCTGTGGGGTTTCAGACACCACCTTCTAATGCAGTTGAGACCTGGAGGGACGTCAGCGTCGTTTTGCACTGAGTTTCAGCATSATTCCCCCAGAAATTGAAGCCAGCCGATTTATTTGCTGCGATTTGTCCCAATTCCCTCTATCCTTATTAAATAAAAACGGAGAAGACGGTGCTGAGCTSGGGGGTGGCCACACGGCTTGCAACGTCCTGACCGCAGCAAGCCGTGGCCAGCCTCAGGACTGAGCTCCTGCTGCCTTGCTGGCCCTGCAGGTCCCGCGGCGTCGTCCAGGTCAACGCCAGCGTCCGCTTCGAGCCGCCCAAGATCAACATCTTCACCAAGGACTGCAAGCGCAACGGCAAGGAGGCCACCTGCATGTCAGCCTTCGTCTGCTTCACTGCTGTCTTCCTCTCTGCCCACTTCCAGACGGCCAGTGTGGGTAAGAGACAGGAGGAAAATGGGTTTTATTTATTTTTTGGCTCTCCAGCCCTGCTGTGGCTGACAGCAATGAGCTAAGAGCTCGGTAATGAGCAATATCAGTCCTGCACAAGCACCTGTGCTGATGCAGTCCCCTGCCACCCCTCAGAGCAGCAGGACCAGCAGTAGGGACCTCCACGAAGAGTCCTTTACACCCAGTGCTTGGGTGCATTGGACTCTCTGGGGACATCCTTTCAGAAAAGGTGTCCCAGAGGCAGGTCCCGTTTCCCCTCCAGCCTCTGCATGAAGTGACTCCAGCTCCCACAGAAACACGGAGCTCATGGGCTTTGTCGTGGGAGGACATCTGTGCACCATATGCATGCGCGCTTCACTCGCATCCCAGAGAATCCTCATGAATTTATTGCCTAGCTCTGGTTTTAAGACGTTGCATGGTGCGGTGACCTTGAGTCTACCCGGAGGATGCCCGTGACTCCRCTGGAGCGAGAGGAAATGAAAGCAGCCAGGCCTCCGAAACGCTGCCCGAGGCGGGCTGAGGAAACCGGGTCCCGACCAAAGCCAAAGGAAACCTTCCCATTCCCCAGAGCAAGGATTCGGACCTGTGCACAGCTCCTGTAACTGCAGGGCAAGAAGCTGAGGGATTCCCTGCGAGCTGGGGACAGAGCCTGGCTTCTTGCTTCTCATGTGTTTTGCATTGCGTTGACGCAGTGGATGCAAAGTCCCTCCTGCCTCTGGCATGGGATTTGTGCCTTTTTTTGTGTCTCTGCAAGGAACAAGTGATTTCCCAGTAAAGGGGACCATGCACCAGGGTAGCTACAGCTTCCTAACCAGYCCAGGCCATATATAGGAATACATAGGAAACAAATATTTAAATATTCTGCACAGGTTTTTTCAAGACAWTGAGAAAAAGCCATCTTCAAAGTTCCTCCTTCAGCCAGAATGCAGATGCTCGAAACAAAATGTTTTAAAAATGCCAGCTTTTCCCTTTATACTTTCTCTATTTCTCTTTGAGCCTGCGCACTGTGCATGGGGTCTCCTGTGCAGGTGGACATGAGCARTACAACACAGCCTTAAAATCTTTCATATTTTAAGAGCCTTTTGACTATTTTTTCCCCCTTAATATACTCCACCTTGCAACAATTTCAAAGATAGTCTCTTTAGTCTCACGTTAGTCTCCTGAGCAGGGAATGAGGATGTGCATGGCCCAAAGGTTCTCCGTGCCCTGGCCTTGCTGCGGATGGAGTGCAGAGACGCAGGGGTGAGCGCAGGGCGCTCTGRTGCTGAGTGCAGGGCGCTCTGACGGGAGCCGCTCTCTCTTGCAGCCCTGCGGTTCAACGCGACCATCGACGAGCGGAGGTACACGCCGCGCGCCCACCTGGACGAGGGCGCCGAGCGGCACGCGCACAAGGCGCTCACCTTGCTCGCGGGCCGCGAGCGCTGCCACYGCCTCGGCTTCCACGTGCTGGTACGTGCAGAGGGCACCATCCTCCTTGCATCCTCCTTGCCAAGGCAGGCAGCCCGCGGGATGCAGCGGGGGGAATTGAGGCTGCYGGAGCGGGACCGCTCTTTGCAAGCAAGCGCACCGGGATGCGGGCGGTGGCGCTCGGTGGAGGCACCTCAAAGGCTTCCCGCGGCTGGAAATGAGGTCAGGATTAATCTCCGAGGCCGGATTTATTGCGGCTGGGTTGGATGTGGCGAGGCGCAGGCCGTGTCCAAGGGAGCAGCTGGTCGGTCTCAGGGATGTGACTTCACCGTGCTCCTTTGTGCACGCCGGGGCTGTGCCAGCGCTGCCCGCAGGGACTGCGCGTGACTCCCCCATCAGCCTCTCCCTCCTGCACCAAACGCAGGGAAAGCTCAAATCCACCTGGAAGCAAACGCTTTCGTGTCCATCCCCGGGTGTGCTCTGTGCTCYGGGTCCCTGTGCCCGGCCTCGGTTGCCAGCAAAACCCTCGGCATGGCGAGCGGCGAAGGCTGCCGCGCAGAGCTGGCCACCGGCGAGCATTCCCGGCGCATGAGCAGAATTCCTCGGAGGCCGGAGCGGGCTGCGCCGCCAGACGGGCTTGGCCTCAAACCCTGGCCTGAACTGCCCTGAACTTCGGGGAAATCTGATTCCAAAGTTCGGGACTGAGCTTGTGATTTAGCCCCGGCAGCAGCTCGCTGCAGGGCGGCTAGATGCCTTGCAGCATCCCCCAGGAGCATCCCTCTTTCCGGAGCTGCGTCTCCGGGATGGAGCACTGTTTRCACCGTCAGACACGGGCCGTGTACGGCACCGCCGTGCCTGCCTTGCTGCTGTCCCAGTGTCCTATTAGCAGGGGAGCTGAGATGTTTATGCACCGAGTTGTCCAAACTCCTAAGCTTTCATTTCCTAGCAGTCGAGCACCCCGCGATGCTCTTGGACTCTGCCCTGGGATCCAGCTGCCGTCGTGAGCTGGATTCCTGCCTTTTTGAAGGATCTCTTTCATCTGCTGCAGGACACAGCTGACTACGTGAAGCCGGTGGCTTTTTCCATAGACTATGACCTGGTGAGCCCCGAAGACGGTCCCATGCTGGATGACGGGTGGCCGACCTCKCTCAAGGTCTCGGTACGTGGCAGCACGAGGGCAGCACCCCGGAGGACACCTTGGTTAGTGTCCCCGGTGGCTGTGCAGATTGGATGATTTCAGTGCTTGTAGAGGATGTCAGTGTGGGCAGCTGGAATCCAAAAGGCACTTTGGAGGTCATCTTGCTTAGCAGATTTCTGAATGTGGCATCCTCATCCTTATCTTKGGGCTGTAAGCTGGACCTGAGCTGCTCTCGTCCCTCGCTCCAGGTGCCTTTCTGGAACGGCTGCAACGAAGACGAGCACTGCGTCCCCGACCTGGTCCTGGACGCCAGGAGCGACGTGCCAAGCGCCATGTGAGTGCATCACCCGGGCCCAGAACCCCTGAACCAGCCCAGACACTGGTACCCACCTCAGCGGGGTGCTTGCAAGCCTCTATACCATGGGGGCTATAGAGGATCCTTCCTATACATTGCTCTACGCCAAGGTCACTTTTGCTTTTGCACCGGCATTAGTTGCATCTCCTCCAGCAAGCACATGCATGCATGATGAGCTCAACCAYAGCAAAGAGCAAAGTTTGGACAAGCAAACTGCAAGATCTTCTGTGCAGAACTAGAGTTTGTTTCTTAGGGGCTTATGAGAAGGTCTYGGGCGTTCGTTCCACCTAGCAGGGATGCTTCGCTCCCTACAGAGATGCTCTCGGGCTTGTGCACATCTCGCCCCGTCCCCACGGGTCACCAAGTGCCAAGCACGGACTAGCCCAAGGTCTCAGCTCCTCAGCATTAGCAATTTAATAATGCAGACTAAATTAGTAAATTTAATTATTCGGTTATTTAGTGTATCTCAGCATCTAGTATTTGCAGAGATTTTCCTTCTACGTATGCAGTAGAATATGCACTGARTGATGAAATCTGAACTCCTGCATGTGGGCTTTGTCCTCTGCTTTGGTTTGGTTTGTTTGTTTTCTTTTGTTGTTGCTGCTGCTGCTTTTTGACTCTCCCTCTGCCCTTAGCAGAGATTTGGCACAGCCGGGTGGTTTCTCAAGGAATCCACCAGAAAACTAAAGCTCAATGCCGTGGTGATGAACCCAGGGAGACCCATGAGCAAATAGCAGAGGGATAAACGCAAGGCCGGCATCACCCACTCAGCAATCCCAGCCTTAGCTCATGCACCAAAGGGATTGCTCCGAGTGCTTTCCCACCAGTTATTTAGGAGGAATATGGGAGCCAGGAGCTCTGGCCCACCAGCAGCAGCGGGCTCTGCACCCATGSCCAGCCCTGCTACCTGCAGCTCGTTTTGTTGTTTTTTATTGCTCCGTGTCTCCTGCAAAGCTCCTGGTCCTAGTGCTGAGACCCGGAGCACGGCTGGGTCTGCAGGGGACATGGGGCATCCTTTGGCATCCAGACTGCACGGTGCATCCTTTGGCACCGGTMCCACGTTCATCCCAGCTTCTGGCTGAGCTCTGGCCCCAGTGCTTGACGGGAGCCGGATTATTTATTTATCCTAGTGGCGGGAGCTCCATGAATAAATAGTGGCTGGCTGCTGTGGGCTCCTGGCATGCCAGACCTCTACACCCATTCCTCCCAAAGCTCCTCAGCTTTCCTACCTGCATTAGCTGGGATCACAGCCAGCAGGAGAAAMAAAACAGAGGTTATTTTGCTCTGCAAAAATTTCCTGCAAAGAGGAAAGCACTTTGGGAAGAGCCTGCTCTTGAACACGGTGCCCCCTTTGCGAGCCCAGAGCCCCGCCAAGCCCTAGGGGTGACACGGGAGCCGGTGTCCCTCGCTCAGCCTCTCGCTCCCGTCTGCACAGGGACTATTGCAGGCGAGCTCTGCGGAGGCCGCCGGCCGAGTGCGCCGCTTACACGCTCTCCTTCGACACCTCCGTCTTCATCATCGAGAGCACCCGGAGGAGGGTGGCCGTGGAGGCGGCGCTGGAGAACAGGGGCGAGAACGCCTACAGCACCGTGCTGGACATCTCCTGCTCCGGGAACCTGCAGTTCGCCAGCCTGATCCAGAGGGTGAGCTCCGGGAGGGAGCGGGGTGGCGAGAGCCCTGGGGATGGGGTCGCGTTGAGGACCGTATTGGGGTGCTGAGGCTGGTGATGGGTCCCGTGCAGCCTGGGGAAGGGGACCGGCCGCTCCTGAAGGTGCTCGAGGTGACACTGCGCAGGGTGCACAGGGCGAGGGGAGAGGTGATCAGGCTCACGACGGGACGGTGGTTCTGCTCGGATGAAGCAGCAGAGCGCGTCCCCCTTCCGCAACGAGCATCCAAACCAGCGAGGGCAATAAATCCTCAATAAACCCTGGAAAAGCCAGGCTCCCTCGGTGGCGGAGCGAGAAAACCCGTCCTGTTTCTCATCCTAAGTTTGCTTGGAGAGCTCCAGGGCCCGGCCAGATGAGAAAGCAGAGTCCTAGAACAGAGCCCAGCGGCTTCCTTAGACCTCATAATTTAGGTGTATTTATGGTGTTATTTTCTAAGCATTCACAGGGTCCTCAGCTTGGAGACGCAGAAATATTTTACTTTTAAAAGCTTGCAATGAGGTCAAACACGGAGGAAATTATTTCCTGTTTTATTTTCTTACTCTCCGATGTGGATGAAATTCTCCCATCTTTTTTTTTTTTTTTTTTTTTTCTCCTGTGGCTTAAAAACACTCACTGCGTGCTGCCAAATTCCTGTCGGGAGGGATTTTTGCAGCCGAGTTATAACCCTTGAGAGTGTGGGCTGGTATTGGGAGCGCAACCATCGCTCTGGGCTCTCCGGTCCCAGCCACCCCGTTCCCTTGGGAGCCCAGGGATGGATCCAGCTGGAGCAGAGCAGAAATCTTCCAAGGAGAYGGGTTTATGCACGAGGGCAGCTGCGTTTTGGGGCTGTGCTCCCCTTTGCTGCAGGTGTCCCGCCGGTGGGGATTCCTGCATTGCTATTTCCCTTGCAAAAACCTGCTCGTGTGTTTGTGGCTACCGCTGCCTATAAATGAGCAATTTGGCTGCAAAAGGGGATGGAAGGTTGTGCCAGAGCCGAATACCTGGGGGTTTTTTTTGGTGCTTTGCAAAGGGCTACGAGTTTCCCCAGCCCAGCTGGAAACTCGCTGCAGAAGTATCTGTCAGGAGGAGGAAATTAAATATTGCTCCTTAGCCGATGACTGTGTGCAATAATATCTTGTGCTATTTCTCGATGCTTCTCCGCGAGTCCTGCTTGGAGAAAGATGTTCCTCATTATGATCCCTGCGCCAAGAATAATCGTTTTTATTGGGTCTTTTTCGTTTGTCGCCCTCGTTAAGTTTCTAAAGGGGAKTTAAATTGGTGTGCGTGAGGTTGCTTTGCTAGAAATGCTCCTTTCTGCGAATGGCCTTAGGAAAGGCCCTAGAAATTAAGGAATTAAGGCCCTAGGAATAACCCGCGTGGGAAAGACTCATTGCCTGCAGCAAGGATGGTTTTTTGCGCCCCGTTTCAGGACGACAGCGACGTGAACATTGAATGCATGACCGACGAGAAGCTCCCCAACAGGCGGGTGTGCAACGTGAGCTACCCCTTCTTCCGYGCCAAGGCCAAGGTAAAGCCCTCGGAACAGGGTTTTTGAGCACAATCCCCCTTTTTCCCCATGTTGCTGGCTTTTGGAAGAAGCGTTAGGAGGCCTTGGAGGGCTGAGATGTTTCCTTAAAGCTGCCTTGAATTCTAGGAGATCGTCAGGCTGCCAAATCAAAACCAGCTCCTCCGAGGCAAGGAATTTGACGCTAATCCTTGAGCGTCGGCTCTGCGCCGCTGCCGGCGCTTATAGGCAGGCTTGCCTTGCAGGAGAAGTCCCCGTGCACTGCAGGGGACACTCCGGTTTTCCTTGCTCCCGTTTTCCTTRCTCCCAGTTTTCCTTGCTCCTGGTTTTCCTTGCTCTGGCTTTCCTTGCTCCCGGTTTTCCTTGCTCCCGTTTTCCTTGCTCCCATTTTCCTTGCTCTTCCAGCTTTTTCCCCCCTTTCCTCTTCCAACGGCATTTCCCCAACTTAGCAATCACAAACGCCCGACACCTCCCTTCCTAAATACCACCCTAAATACCGCAGGGAAGTGGCGGGATGCAAGAGAGCAGCTCGGGATCCAGGCACAAACCATATATCAGCCTGAAGCCTCCACTTGTCAGAACCTTGAAAACAACGGATGCGCCTCCGGGGCTCCTCTCCGGAGGCCAAAGCTCCCAAAAAAGCCGTCTCGGATGCTTGTGGCTGCAGACAAAAGCGGAGCAGCCCGGCTCCCCATGACCTACAAGGGCTGGGAATGCATCTGCRTGGCATCAGGTAGCCCAGGTCCTGCCAAAACAAAGACAAGCTGGAAATGGAAATTTGGCTCCAGAGCAGCAGGAGCTTTAATATTATAATCAGCTGTGCAGCCCCAGACAGTTTGAGGTCGCTGCCACGGCTCGCAGATGGGACATTTCTCACATTTTTGATTGCTGCTGGCCGCCCTGGCCGCCCTGCCAGCCGACCCGCTCGCCGCCAGAGCCCCGGGTGCTTTCGCTCTCAACGGGGCTGCTTTTTGCTCTCCGGCTTAAAAACCGAACACGCRGCGTGCGGCAGAGGAGGGCCCTGCCGCTTTCCTTGCCCCCGCATTCCCATTTTTTCCCATCACATTTCATGGCATTCCAAGGGCAGAGCCCRCTCTTTTTTTTTCCCTGATTTTTCTCCAATATTCCAGTTCTTCCCAATTCTCCAGTTTTTCTCYGTTCTTGGTCCCCGCAGGTGGCTTTTCGCCTGGATTTCGAGTTCAGCAAGTCGGTTTTCCTCCCGAGCATGGAGATCTCCCTGACTGCCACCAGGTTAATGGCTGCGTCTTGGTTCCCTTTCCACCATCTCCTCCTGCTTTCGCTCCTTGTTCCTGCTCCCCGCAGCCTGAGCCCTGTCCCTGGAGCGGGATCCCTTTGGCCTTGCTGGGATCCGGGTCTCCCACTTCCCATAGCTGTGTTTTTAGGGGAACCGCTTAGCTCTGGAGGCATCCAGAGGGAATAACTGCATGGRAATGAGATGGCCTTGGGTTCCTGCAGAGTAGGCAGCAATGAGGGGCTGTGTTTATTTAACTATATTCACGCTTTTTCTGCAAATATAGAGAAATTGCTCCACAGTCGCCAGCCTCTGGCGCTGGGTGGAAAGCAGCTCCAACCTCAACTCTCTTATTTAACCCCTTCCCAGCCAAAAACCCAACATCCCTGCAAACCCCTCCTTACGAAGGGCGGCCCCGCTCGCCTTCCCAAACGGTTCCGTTTTTTGCCCTTTCCCGCCACCTTTGGGCGGGGGGTCCCCGCGGGGGCCGGGGGGGCTCAGGCGCCGCTCGCCCGCAGCGACAGCGCGGAGGACGCGAGCACCGCCGGGGACAACGTGGCCCTGCTCCAGTACAGCCTCAAGTACGAAGCCGACCTGCTCTTCACCAGGTCGGTGCTGGTGCCAGTGCGGGGGGTGCTGGGGGAGCCCCAAGGGGCTGGGGTGACTTTTGGGGTGTCCCCAGGAGGGGACGGGTTCGTCCTCCCCTTCTGCCTGCTTGCAATTTGTCGGGGGGAGGCTCCTCTGATGCAATGAATATCTGAGTCGACCCGTGCAAAGAAGAATGATAAGAAAAAAAGGGTGTTTGGGTCTCCTGGGAGCACAAAGGGCGCAAGTGCTGGGTTTTTCCTAGYCATGCACAGAGCAGTGCCAGCGCTTCCCATTGGGATGCTCCTGGCTCCTTCCCCTCCTCTCCAGCAGCAAAATACAAATCGGATTCCCTTACTTAGCTCTATRCATATATAGATATATATGTACATATATATCTACATAGATATATACATAGATATGTACATATATATGTACATAGATATATATATACATATATACATATAACAAGGCTTTGGATGCCTCTAATGCATGAATGATGCAAGAAAAACTATGCAATGGAGTAACATAAAACTCCTCCCTTTTTCCCCATTAATTCCGCGGGCGGGCGCGGGGCCGTGGCCCCGGCAGCTCCGCTGAGCCCGCTGCAGCTCATTGCACTGATCCATCACAGGACATCGAGCCTGGGCTACTACGAGATCAAGGCGAACAGCTCCGTGGAGCGCTACGGCCCCGGGCCCCCCTTCCACTGCACCTTCAAGGTAGGGGGCACGCGGGGACGGGCGGCGCGGGGACGGGGACGTCGCGGTGCTCAGCGTCCCMCTCGCTCCAGCTGCAGAACTTGGGCTTCTTCCCCGTGGACGGCGTCACTGTCAAGTTCATGGTGCCCGTGGCCACGCGGGCCGGCAACCGCCTGCTGCTGCTCACGGAATTCACGGCCCAGCAGGTGGGAAGGGGCTGCCGGTGCCCGTGCAATTCCCAGCCGCGTGCACGCCTGGGAGCAGGGGCAGAGGGAGGGAGGGATGCATGGAGGGATGCATGGGTGGATGGGGATATGGATGGATGGATGCATGCATGCATGCATGGAGGGAGGGATGGATGCATGTATGTATGGAGGAATGGAAGGATGGAGGAATGCATGGGGGAATGCATGGAGAGATGGATGCATGCATGCATGCATGGAGAGATGGAAGGATGGAGGGATGGAGGGATGGATGGAGGGATGCATGCATGCATGCATGCATGGAGGGATGGAAGGATGGATGCATGCATGCATGCATGGAGGGATGGATGGATGCATGCATGCAAGGATGGAGGGATGGATGGATGCATGGATGGATGCACGGGGAGAAGGATGGATGCACAGATGCCCCTCTGGCAGCCTTGGCCCTGGTCTCTCTCCTGGGGTTTCTGTGCTCATTTGGCTGCACACATGGAAAACGGGAGCAGATGGGATTGGTCCCCGGCACTTGCAGAGATCCCACTCCCGCTGGCACTTAGGGAATTCCGGAGGGTTGGGAGGGAATGGGGTGTTGGGAGCCAGGCCGAGGGGTCCTGCAGCCCCACCAGCTCCCAGAGCAGCTCGAGGGGGGCCTGGCTGAGTCYTCCGCTTCCCCCCCAGGAAAACGCGACCTGCAACGTGTGGGGAAACAGCACGGACTACCGGCGGGCGCCGGCGGAGGAGGACCTGAGCCGGACCCCCCACCTGGTACCGGCGGCGGGACCTGGACCTGGACCTGGGGAGGGGGCACAGCTGGGGACACGGCTGCGGGGGCACACACAGGTGGAGGGGTGCACAGCTGGCAGGGCTTGCACATCTGGCAGGGGATGCACAGCTGGTGAATGCAAGGGAAGCAGTAACCTCAGATCCATGGAATCCTGTTCCTCCCAATAGTCTCCAAACAGGGAGCGGGAAGATAGGATGGGTGCCCCCCACCCCAGCCTGCACTCCCTCCATTGGCTTCTCCAGGGGCTCGTAAGGCACCAGCCTGATCCAAAGCGGCTCCTGCTGCTGCGAGGGGCCTCTCAGACCGGTGCAAACGAGGAGGGAGCAAATGCAAGGACTGGGGTGCAGCTCAAAGCGCAGCTGCAGCCCCAGCCCGGCCCTGCTCCCGCGTGGAGGCTTCGTCCCCAGCCCAATCCCCGTGGCTCCCTTTGGATCCGGAGCTTTCCCTCTGGATCCGGAGCTTTCCCYCTGGAYCCGGAGCCTTCCCCCTGGACCTGGAGCTTTCCCTCTGCCGCAGAACCACAGCAACGCAGACGCCGTGGCCATCGACTGCAGCGTGAGCCTGGCGCCCAACGAGGAGCTGCTCTTCCAGCTGCGCGGCCACCTCTGGATGAAGTCACTGAAGGCAGTAGGTGTCCCGAGCGCGGCCGCACGGGGACAGCTGCACGGTGCAGATCCCGGGCGGGGGCTCGCGCCRCGTTGGGCCCCCCGCGCCGTGCGGTGCCGGGGGCTCAGGGCGGCCCCGCGGGGCCCTTTTCCGCGCCGCGCAGCTCCAGTTCAGGTCGCTGAAGCTGACGATGAGCGCGGCGCTGCAGCGGCGCTTCCGCAGCCCCTTCGTGTTCCGCGAGGACGAGCCCAGCCGCCAGGTGAGCCGGGCGCAGCCGGAGGCGCCGCAGGGCCCCGCGCTGCTCAAAGCCGGAGCCAGTCCCTGGTCCCTGCTCCGGGAGCCCCTCGGGAAGAGCCGGAGCGGCCGCAGGAGGGACCTGCTGGCTCTGCAGAGCCCGGAGCTGCTCGGCGCGGCTGTGGCCGTGCAGAACCCAGCAGCACCCGGGTTTAGCAGTGAAAACCCGAGCAATCCCTGATGCGTGGGCTGCAAATCCCTCCCGTGTCCTCAGAGCATCCCTGTCCCTGCACCATCCCCACCATGGGTCCAACCCCAGCACTGCACCACCCCCTGCATTCCCATCCCTGCACCATCCCCACCATGGGACCATCCCCTGCATCCCCATCCCTGCCATGGGGCCAAACTCAGAGCATCCCCAACACTGAACTATCCCCT